CAAGTGGTAGGATATATTTTGATAACCATCGAGAAATTAACTTACTAAAATGGAAAGATTGTCGCATCCCTTTCGCTGAATAGACATATAGCAGTATGAAACAGCAGAATCTAACAAAGTAGGATTTGAACACGAACGCGGATGAGCTGACCAAATATTCCTATTAAGAAAAGTGTTGAAATATCGCTGCAAATATCAGCAACACACTTGTAGATTTTGTAGCTGTCTTCGATTCAACTGATAAAAAGATTACGTTGAATACGTTCATGATATATCCTTTTTGCTGATAATTAAGACGAAGTGCAAATAATACTAAATAATGTGTCGACAACTGCAACAAGAATCGGATTTAAGATCATGTAAATAAAACGAAAGCCATTTCATCTTCCAGAGGCTCACAAAAATACTTATTTTTGCCAATACATCGCCAGTTGAGAAAATGCCAGACTTTAAATATTTTGGATCCATTCTAATCCCAAACGACAAAAACAGCATCTAGAAATATTCTTCTGGTTAGCGAAAAAATTCATGTTTATACTGTTCATCAAGTTTATAAGTTAAGTTTCCGTTTATATAACTGTTGCGAAATTACCATTAAAACGAAAATCTATATAGCTGCAATTCGATTTTATGGCTACGAGATATAGTAAGAATGGAGAATATTAAGTTATCTACTTTTGATCATTCATATCCAAGGCACATTTTACGGGTTCTCTAATGGATAAAATTTCACATGACTGCATCCACTCCATCTTCGCTGAAATCTACCATCTATATTTAAAGACATTATCCATCACAAGCATTTTTGATATTCGCTAATTAAAACAAGTTCTTTGTCGCCCACTATAGGAGTTGACACATATTTCGTTATTTGCTAACCCTGTGATGGATAATGTCAAAAACGAGGAGCAATCAAAATCTGAACTGATACAATCATGAAAGATTTTAAACGCATAGATGGACCAGCGATATATGGACTTAGACGATGGAAGAATGAATGGCATCAATTATCAACGAAGGCGTCGGGCCAAATAGCGTCGAGACGTCTTGTCCTTTTAGCTGGAGGAGCCAGCATAACCAGCTGTTATGAGAGCTTAACAATAATTTCTATCATAGAGAATGAACATTATTTATTTTTCGTATTATCATTTTTACCTGTAGCGAAATAATAAAACCAAAAATTATCACAAAGTTAAATAAAACTCGCTATAGACTAAAAATATGAAAAGAAAACAAAATATATAAAAATATAAATATATATAACTATAATATACACCTCGCCCAAAGTACTGGAATGTAGTTCATTAGAAAAAGAATGCTGTTTAACAGAATGTATGCCATGTAAATTTAAAACATCACTGATCAAGCCGATAGCTGCAGAAGAATAAGTAGTATTGTTATCATTACGCAATGTAAGATGAGGAAGAGCAGATAGAATTCGTTGGGAAATATCGAAAATTGGAGGATCAGCAGGAAATAACGGTACTTTCCGGTCTTCAGCATTCCTTCAAAGGATTCCTAATCATGAAGCAGGTGAAACTTTGAAAGAAAATATTGTAATAATGAAATTTAACAAAGAATAAAAATACAAACTTTAACAAATTTAAAATTCAAATCGGAAATTTGGCTAACAGTTTTTTTTCATTTATCGGAGTAGAAAGGATGGATGAAAATAGAATACTAGCTTCATCAACTATATTATTCAACAGTTTTTGCTCTAAATCATTTTTTTTTTCAACCATCATTCTGAAATGTTAAATTAATTCTTCCATAACGAATTCTCAAATATGAATTATATAATGATGAACGAAAATAGTAACAAAAATAAAAATATAAACAATACTTTATATGGGATGTATCAGGATCTTTACTATATTTACTTTTCTTCCCGAATTGATTAATTTCTTCCATAGGTATCTGAGGATGAGGAGCATGAGACCACAAATATGCTTCATCACGCGAATTACCGGTTAATAAATTTTGAATATCGCCTTGAATCTTCAAAACGGTCGTAGGCCAGTAAAAAAACAGATCCATTATGAAATCAAACAACGAAAGTTAATGAAAACTAAGGCAAATGACCAATTATAGAGAAAGAAAACGAAAAATGAATTACATTTGATTCCAAAGCCGTTTCATAAGCTAGAAAAATGGCTATAATTCTGTAACGCTTAACCAAAACATATTCAATCATACCTAAACAAGGATATTCAAGTGTGCAATGAAAATGACCTACTGACTATCATGACTATGATTTAAATGACTATCGCTAATTAAAACAAGTTCTTTGTACCTTGCGACGAAGATGGGGTTGCAAACGATTTTGGTTGAAAACAATTTCGGATTGCTTTGCGAAAACCGATATGCCGGTTCGATGGTTCATTCGAATTCCATCCGCAACTGGCTGAGTGAAACGGTGAGCAACTCGACAAGCTAGAATTTTATAAAATAGAACTATTTCTTTTTTTTACTTAAAATCTTCAAATCTTTTAATCTTCAATATTCGCTTTATTCTGGAAACATTCATAGAAATTTTAGTGAATTTAATGAACGTAACTTCTCAACTAATTACTGCGATCGTGATCCACAGCAGTATCCACTCACTGATGAATACCTATGGAAGAGAAAATGCAATAGAAATCAAACATCTGCCTCGCCAACGGTGCATCGCTATGGTTAGATAGATGCTAAAAAATAGATGCTTAACCTGGACCACTATAATTTTTACACAATCGATCTCGATTTCTTTCCATGATAGCATTCATACGTTGCACTAGTTTATTTAATTCAAATCGACGTTTCTTCCATCCAAATTTCCCACCTTCACTTATCTTGTGCCCATGCTTCACCATATTTCCTATAAATATTTAGTAAAGACTCTGTGGTTAGCTCTCACCATTCCTGATTAATTTCTCTGCCTGTTAGTACGGTTAGAAATTTTTGCCAGTGAAGGTCATTGGCACCACATGCCGAATGGCGATAGCAAAAGGCTACTTTTTGAGGACGGCTCGCATTTTTTGTCTCATTCTGGCCCCGAGGGTTTTTATTCTTTCCTTTCCTCGAGCTGTCAAAAGTTGTGCGTTCAATATCTTCTAATTTGCTGCTCCTTTGGTGGACTTATCCACCCCACTTGTTCCTTTTTGGTGATCTATTATTGTTTTTAACTTTCTTACTTTCACTGTTCAAATAGCTCGATAAATATTCCCAGAAATGTGAAAATAAATAATTATTTTAGCGACTTTTCACTGATCAGTTATTTTTCCATTTCATTTTCCATTAAAAAACCGCCATTAATGGATCAAATAACCGAAAAATGGCTTTTTCCGAATTTTTTAATTTTTCAAAATTTTTTCTAAAAAAGACATTTTTTGGAAGAAAATGAAAATTTTTGGAAAACCAAACAATAATAATAAAAATTCATCACTAAATTCACGAAAAAAAGCGAAGGACTTTTTCTTCTTGAAAGTTTAAAATTTTTAGAAAAAATAAATTACAATACATTTGGGGAAAAAAAAGGGCAAACAAACTCCGCCAGAAACCCACCAGTGGATCCAACACATCCGTAATCCGAACCCACTTTCCTCAAACAAACATTCTGATAAATGCGATACGGAACGCAAGTTGGTAAGACGCACGTGCAAACGCGTCGCACACAGGACTCCGCCCGCCCACTCAAGCATTTTGATCCAGAACGTTTGGCTAACTGAATACTTCTCGGCAAAAAGAAAAAAGGAAACAGTATTTCGGACAACTCGTAAGCGCTCTGGAATGGTTTCGTACTCAATAACTCGTAAATATGCCACGGCATCACATCGGACGGCTCGCGAACTTGTCGACCTTATAATTGCTCTGCCGTGGGACCATATGGAATAATTCCTGCCTCCCATGGGCGTGTCCTACAACTCGCGAGTACTCTTCCATGGGCGTGTCGTATGTCGCACAACTCGCGACTGCCCTGCCATGGGCGTATCGTACAACTCGCGATTGCCCTGCCATGGGCGTGTCCTACAACTCGCGAGTACTCTTCCATGGGATAATATCGGATGACTTATGCTTATATCGTACCATAATTGCTTCTAATTTTATTTCATTATTACTCGTCACGTTCAGTCGTTTTATTTCATTTATCCAAGTTTTTTTTTAAAGAGTCCTCACCATTACTGGTTAAACTCGCTCAGCTGGCTCAGCTCGCCCGCAAGACGGCAATATGCCAGGGAATCCCTTGGCGACAGAAATACACGTGAATGGCCATAACCCGTATACAGGTTTTCTCCTGCAGGGAATCGAATCTCAGCCTCGGCGGTCCCAAATAAGCAATAACCCACTGAGCCATTCTAACCCCCCTATTTATCTAAGTAAAACAGGAAAAGATGGAATCTGAAGGAAAAAAGAAGAGAGGGAAAGGAACATGTCTATAACCTACTCCTATAACACAATAATTATCCCTATGACGAAAGCCGGAATTTATCTTAGTGCATAGCTGCAATGCAGTGTATATAATGCAGATAACGCAAATCTTCTTCCAAGGATGCGAAATATGGTCATTAAGAAATTACGACATTAAGAAACATTTACCCTGACACTTTCCGTCCGAGGCATATTTACCAAGCAGATAAAGCCTCAATTATATCACCTCACATTATCAGAATAATCTGCATTGATGGTACAATTAACAAAACGTCATCTCCATTCTTCATACAATGTTTGTTGCCAGCAGCGGCAGGAACTGACGAACATATAATTGTATGAATGCCCTGTAGTAAGTGGCTCCTAAAATGACGAGGTTGATACGTATTCGGCTTAACGACTTATGTTAATTGAATAAAAAAGGATAACTTCTATATTTTGCACCACACTGGAAGATTCGGAAAAATATTGCAGTAAATGGAACCAACATAACCAAGGATGATGCGCAGTATTAAAAGCCAAATTCTATTTGTTGGCAATTTTATTTGCTGAATTTTTAAGTAAAATTAAAAGATATAAATGCCATGATTTGTTCATTCTATAAATAAAACAGAAATCTTTAAAAAAAAATTTAATATAAGTAAAAAAATTCATCATATAGAACTGAGACTTAAAAGATTAGCAAATATTCGATCAAATTAAATCGACAAGTTAACCAATTCTTTTAAATTAGAAACTATATTGGCTTTTCGTCTAACGAGCACAACGACTAAATATCTTAATGATCACAATTCGGAAACCATTTTTGAAAGCAATTCAACGTTTTGACCACTCATCGCTGCTGAATACAATGCAGATAACGCAAATCTCCTTCTGACTGTCGAAGAATCGATTTTATGCGAAGCAGCAAATGCAGTTCGAATAATCTGCAATGTTCTTTTCAGAAAAAAAATAGGTGAAAAGTAATTTTACAGTCATGAGAATCTGATCTCGAAATATGAAAGAAAAGAATGAAACAATGAGAAATTTAAAATAATAAGACAAATCAGAAAGAAAAAATGGAAAAGTATGGTTCGAAGCAAAGTCCGAATACAAAATCTCATCCACAAACAAATGAACAGATCTATCCAGAACCCACAACAATAAATCCAAACAAATTTAGCAAAATTAAAAGCAGGAAGTAAAATGCCAAAAATAATATCTATCAAAAATCAAAAATACTTCTTGCTTTATTCCCGATACTTTTGCAGCATAAAATCCATGTGATTTAGAACAAACTCCGTCTGCTAATGTATATAAAAAAGTTACATTTTCCATTGTTGGATCAGAATCATTTTCATTTTCAACAACGCAAGCCTAAAAAACAATAGCATTTCAAAAAGAAGAAAAAAAGCGTTTCAAAATAAATAAAATGAATATGAATAATAAAAATAAATTAAAATAAATTATATAATAGATATTTAATAGATATTTAAAAATAAATATTTTACCATATGGGCAGTCTTGATATTACTTATATGCTCCACAGCTGTACAAAGGCTGTGGTAATGAGTAGAAAAAAGTGCTCGACAATTAATTCTTAGAGCCAAGTCCTTCAATACAGCATATGCGATTGCTGTACCATCATGAGTGCTGAAATTCTAGTCTTAAGGAAATAAAACTCATAAAAAATTCGTAAACATATTTTCTTAAAATATTTCAAATTTATTAATTCGTATAAAAAGAATCACTCGCACCTTGTTCCACGTCCTAGTTCATCCATTATTACAAGTGAATGCTCCGTAGCATTGCGTAAGATAATATTTGTTTCATTTAATTCCACATAAAAGGTGGATTGACCGGAAATATAATGAAAAATAAGTGAAAAAAAAGCGAAAAAAATCGTTATTTGAAGTAAAGACATTAATGGGTTGAATCTCAAAAATAATTTAATAAGCTTAATAACAATTCAGATGATAATTTAAGTATCTTCCAATAAATATTTCCTCTGAACCAAAAATTGTTAAAGAAAGATAACCAGCAGCTATGCGATCATTAGCCCCGATGCGCGTAAAGATACGATCAACTGGTGACAGGCACATTTTTTTCGCAGGTACAAAACTTCCCTAAATAAAACCAAATGAACGAAAAAAAATTTGAATGATTTAAAAGTGAATAAAATATCAAATAAAAAAAACTGGAAAAATGGATAGTGAATAAATAATAAGAAACAAAATCAGCCATATAGATGAAAATATGAAATTTAAATAGAAAATACTTACAATCTGGGCCAAAACAACAAGACATGCCACTTGACGCATCAAAGTTGATTTTCCACCCATATTTGGGCCGGTCAGTAAGAGAGTCGATGGATTTTTAGCACCGAGTTTAACACTGTTTGGTATAAATGCGAAATCACTGTCATTATTTGAAAAAGGTTTTATTGCTAGACTAGGATGATAGCCAGAAGTAATATCCAGTAATGGCTAAAAACCAGTGTGATTAGTACTTGGAAAGCATTATTTTATAAAGGTTAATAATATCTAAGAAAATTATGCTCTAGAAATTTTTTCTATAATACTTTAGTTTATTCAAAACAAATGTCGATCCAGTCAAAAATCCATAGATTTTCATTGGGTTCCACCAAACATTTTCTTCATGTTTTTAAAATATAAAAATTCGTAACACTCACAAAATATTCAAATCTAAAAAAAAGGCGAAAATTTTTTGTGAGATTTTTTGGAAAAATGAAAATCAAAAATACTTTCTGAGAATCATAATCAAATTCTGGACGACACATGATTAACCCAGAAGTTTGAGCATACCGAGCTAGCGACAATAAAACATCGAAAATTGCAATACGTTCTGTTACAGCAGCCCATTTAGATGACCTGCAAGCATAGGTAAATCGAAGATAATCAAGCCTGGATCACGAATAAAAGACTGAAATAAACAAAAAATTTACCTGCTATCAAAATCTGCAAAAACGCGACGCATCACATCTCTTTGAATTAGATCTTTTCGTTCTTCAGCCTCTATAAGCGTTTGAAACAATTCTGTAGATTCGGAAGTCGTCATACGTTTATAACCCTTTAATATAGCACTGTATAAGAAGAAAAATTAAAATAAAATAGATGACTCACCTTTCTTGATGACTTTAATTCAAAGTCAGACCCAAGATTTTTCGCTATGGATTCAGGAATTTCAATTTGATAACGAGATCTGCCACTGCCCGTGTAGTTTATATTCTAAAATAATTTGCTTCTGATTAAAAAAAGCAAATGCTATACTGCAGGAAGACAAATTTGAAATTATAAAGAGGGACTACCAAATTATGTCCAATTTAAACGATACCGAGCATTTTAAATTCCTGCGAACATTTTCAAGATAAGAATCAAGTTGGACGATGCAGTCATTAATATCGTCGATAATGGCATCATATTCTTCGATAACTCCTCGCTCAGGAATTATTACACCTTCTTCACGAGCTTTTTCATGATTGAAACCTTTCTAAAATATGAATATTAAAAAATATTATCCTGAATAATGTTTCGGAATTTTATAACAGAAATAACAATTCACCTTAAAATGTTTTAGATCAGCTGATATATCTGGAAACTGATCGCCAAAACATCGTTGCAGCAGCTCTGATCTGAAAAAAAGCATTTAAAGCGCAAATTTTTACATGTAAAAACTTTCATTTTACCTCATTTACCAAAATTATACAAAATAAAAGCATGAATTACAATTCAAAAAATATTAAAAATAATAAAATAATAATAAAACAAATACAATTCATCAAAAACTCTGCTTATTTCAGAGGCAAGAAATCATTATTATAAATTATTTTTAACAATTCTGCAATATTTAGCAAACTCAAATTCAACCGCTCCAAATGAAAATGTTTTGCCGAAGTCAGTTTCGCTGGAATCTCTTCAGCTTATCAGCCGAAATAAAGATTGGTTTAATTCAAGTAGTTCAGGAAAAATTTCAACCAAAGATTTACGTTTACATAAAATAGTTATACTCCTAACCATATTTTATCTAATTATAACCCAAATTTTGAATGAAAAAATTATTTGGAACAAGCAACAATAAAGTAGCAAAAATTTCATAAAAATTTTCAACGCTGCAGAATATTATCTAAAAAAAACGATGAAAAGACAAAATTAAAATTTTAATATTAATTAATATTAACATTTATATTTATAAGCAAAAACAACCCAATCTGCACCAAAAAAAAGTTTGTAAAGCCATATATCGAAAAAACATTAAAAACTAGAGTAAACTTTAAAAAAAAATTTCTTTTTAAAAGGAAGCTTCGTATCGAAACGATTATTTTTATACGATTTTGCTCATCATCAAAATTATATTTCAAAAGAGCAGGAATTGTGGATGTGACGATATGCCACGAAATGCGACGTTTTCTATTATTTCAAATTTGATATTTCAAATTAGTGACCCCGACGCGCCAATGAAGGCTTTCATTTAATCATTAATTCCTTATCTTCGCATAGATCAATAAATTTAGAGGCCAATTCATGAATATATAATAAATATAGTTTTAAAGGAAACGTTTCCTCATCCCTCATTTAGTGCATCAAGAGACCGGAGCGGTTGAGTCTCATATTTCAATTTCATATGCTTTGTTATTTAACAACGTTGTATTATTATATTGTTATTGTGTTGTTTTCATATTTGTTTTGAAATAGTTATCTATGGATTTAATTCGTATCGGATATTGTTTTTTTTGTCAATGGGTTTATTTATTAATCGGTTTAATTACCCAAGTTTGAGGTAAAGATTTGTTTCATGTGGGGTGATCCGTTTAATACTACTGTCCTGAGAAAGGAATCGGACCAAGATTAACTAATATAATTAATGAGCATCTCACTGCTTCAAATCAATAATTATGCTATTTATTTTTTACAACGATCATTTGAGACGACCAAGACCTGTCTGAGGCCCTTAAAAAACGGTTTAGGACTGTTTTTTGCTGTATTGTGATTATTCTGTTTCCTATTTCAATTCAAATAAGACAAAGTTCGTGAATTAATTGATGTATCCCGTTTATATTGTTTCTAATTGTTTTGTGGAGATTTCTCCGCTTTGAAAAAATCTTTTCCTACAATTTTTTGATCTTTTCCGACTTACACAATTTTGGTGGTGCTGGCATATTACTTGCATTTAATTAAGTGATCAAGTTATTAAGTGAAAATACATATATACCTGAGCTTTATGCAGTGGAACCTAATCAAAAATGGTGAACGCCAACCACTTACTTTCCAGAAGGCAAATTCCTATATTCTTCAACTAAAGCGAGAACACGATCAAAACCAGATAAGGTTATCAGTAAATCATTGATTTTGCGACGATTATATCGAGTTGCTTCGAATAATACAGCTCGACCATCCGGATGTTCACTTGCTCGATATTTTAGTCCCATTGTGTGAATCCTAAAAATTTTACCAATAAAAATTTCTATTGTATTATTGTCAATAAGAAAAAATCAAGGAAAAATAAGATTTTTAGCTTCAATGGGGAAATATGGTGAAACAAAGATAAGGAAAAAACAAAATAATAGCAATAAAGTCAACAAACTATATTGTAACCACCTTTACAGTCATAGAATATTGATGTTCTGCTTAATTTGCTTTAAAGAAATGTAATTGATTTGCTTTCGTTATATATTGAGAAAGAAAGAAAAATTTGATTCCATGGAAGCAAGTAAAGATGAAGCATTAATATAAAATAAACAATGAAATAAGCACTTCTGAAGCAGCCGCTCAAAATCAGGCAGCTTGCGCAAATGGTCGGTTGCTTTAATCATAAATTCCTTTCTTTCCGCATCAAGCATCCACTGAATGGCATTTTGCCTGGCGCTAATGATTGAAGAATCGCAAGAAGGTGAACAAAGCCACTGACGCAACAATCGTTTCCCTAAAAAAGTAAGGAAAAAAACTCCTACTAAATAGAATAATTAACAGGTTGACATTTAAACAAATAATACCGAACGGGGTACTACATTTGTTAACAGTGTTGTAGAGAGAATATTTCGATGAGATTGAATCTCGAACTACTCGCCGGAGACCATTCATAGGCGGAATTATGTTCAAATTAGAAAGAGAAATCCCATCCAAGATGAGATGACGATCACGCCAAATGTGTTCTGCACCATCCTGTAAAATTAAAAAACGCTGAAAAAACGAACTAAAAATGCTAACAGATTAACAAAAAAAGAATCGCAAATATGCAAATTTACTTGTGCAGTTTTTTGATAAATATATGCTGGTGGTATATACCACTCAAAATTTCGCATTGTAATCATATCCACATCAATCAAGCATCGCTCGAGATACCTTAATTTTTTACCATATTTCTTCCGAAAAAGTGCAAGTAAACATGAAAAATCAAACAAAATTTGAAAAATTACTTTTTTAAAAAATAAAATTACCATAAGACTGCTCCGAAAGACATCATACATTCAATATAATCAGATGAACATATCGGAGATACAGTATTCGCATCATCGATTAATTTTTTTACAACCTCAGGCCAATTATGAACCTCATCGCCAAAATAAGACTTATTTTTTAGCTATAAAACCAAAATATAATATAATCCGCAAATTCTCCAACTGATGAACAGAATAAGCAAAAAACGGATTAATTTAGGAATAAATTTCAATGGAGCTAATAATATTGAAAATTAAATTATATTAAGACGGAGATCTTTTCGTCTTATGTGCAAGAAGAATGCCTCTTTTTGTAAATTCATTGCCAGTTGAGGAAGTGCCCAATTTCAAATACCTTGGGTCCACTCTAATACCAAATGGACAGATAAAAGATGAAAAGATGATACTCGGATGACAGCAGCTAGAAATGCGTTCTTCCAGTTGAAACTTTTATGGAATCGTCGTGAAATCAGCATAAAAACGAAAGTTCGCATCTATATTGCCGCGATCCGCTCGACATTACTATATGTTTCTGAGACGGCCAATGAGAGTGGAGAATATTAAGAAGTGATCTGCCTTTGACCACTCTTATCTAAGGTATATATTACGGATCCGTCGAGCCGATAAGATATCACAAGATCGCATCTATCTTCGTTTAAACCACTTGCATAAATGTTATCACAGAGCGTCGCCCTTGGTGCTTAGGGCATATTCTCCGTAGTCCACCACAAGAGTTGTTGCATATTTCGTTACTTGCTAAACCGTGTGATGGTTGGCGTTAAAAGCGAGGTGGGCCAATCAAGACCTGGACTGATACGGTCAGGAAAGATTTTGAACGTATAGGTGGACCAGCAATATATGGACTCAGACGATTGAAAAAGGAATGGCTTCTATTACTGTCGACGTTGGCATCAAACCGCACCGCTTGGAAGCGTCTTACCCTTGTAGCCGTTGGAGCCAGCCTAACCAATAGTGGTGAGAGCTGTTAGAAGAAAAGAAGAAGAAGAAATAATATTAAAAATTTAGATCCAAATATTGGTTGAACACTTCTTTTCTTTTTCTACATAGTTCAAGAAATGAAATTGGTAGGTGAAAAATGAAATATGAAATGGATGAATAAGAAATTCGGTGACAAAATTTAAAAAAATAAAGCAAATGAAAATTTCCTAATTTCTTTGGGAATTCTAATTCTAAATTTATTTACTCTTTTAATCGTAAATTCCGCTGTCAGAAATTCCTTTTTAGGAATTAACGCCTCTTTTACAATTCCACTCGCCACACATTGCAGCAAATTATTCGTTGCATTCGATAAACGACCACGCTCATAAAGAATCTAAATCCAATGTATAGGGGCTCATAAATAATATATCTTGTTATCTCCAAAATTTAACCTAGATCCCATAATTCCACACCGTTTGTTATATCTTAAAAAAAGAAATTAAAATTATCCTAGAAAAAAATGTTGAATTTCCAACAAATTTTTTCAAAAAAGACAATTCTAAATGACAGATTTACTCTTGTCAAGAGTAACCCTAGCTTAAAATCAGAGCAGTTATCCACTGAACCATTCTTACTTTAACTTTATAAAATTTTACTGGAATCTTATCAGTTTCGAATTATCTCACCTGTGATGGCTGATAATGGGCAAATAAAGTACGCAGCGATGACCGATTACTGTCATCTTCGAATTGACTTAACTAAAAATAATTGTTTCTAACGATTTTGTATCAATTATAAACATATAAAATATAAATATAAATAAATAAAAATAAATAAATATTTTATATATAAATAAATATATAAAATATAAATTATAAATTGATTCACAGATATTTTGGCAAATGTTCCAAAAATTATTAATGAATAAAACGACGATTACATAAAATTTTCCAACAGACGTATCAATGAAACAAACACCATAAATGGTAATTCCAGCTTCGTTGATCTATAAAAAAATCATAAAATTCATAATTGACATAATTTCACAAAAAAATGTGGTCCCAGTTTTCGAAAATAAAAACTACTGCACGAAACAAAAAGAATAAAAATTATAAAATTCTTTTATTCTTATAAAAGAGTAAAAATAAAAAAACAAGATCCAAAACCCAAAGAAAAAAATTTTTTCATTGGATTTTTAATATTAATTTTAAATTTTTTTTAATATTTTCGATATTTTAAGGAAATAATTATGATGATTAAAAACGAATGAGTGAATGCACTAGAACTAAAACGAAATCTATTCGAAAGGAAGATTAAAACAATTAAAAAAGGACAGAAGGTAAATTCACCTTTTCTGCAAAAGCAAGCAGATAACGGGCTGCAGATTCAACAGCATCAAGTGCACTTCGGTCATCGCTTGAATCAAGTACACCATATGTTCGCGTACCAGCAGTAGTCACCGAACAAACTTCTCTGAATTATATTATAAATTATATTATATTATATAAATTAGACTATAAAAATAAATTTATAATATTAAATTAAATCTTTAAGGTTTAGAAAAATAAATATTAAAATATTGACCAATCAATAAATTTCAACCAAAAATGATAAAATTTAAAAGAAAATTTAGGTTTAATTTAAATGAACAATGATTTCATTTTTTCCACTTTTTACCATAAAATCCATAAAATTTAATTTTTTATTATCTCTCATTCTTCAGAGTTTTCAAGTAAGAAAATCCTGAATTAAAAGAGTATAATTATGGAGAAATCGTTACATACTATTATCGCAAGACAAATAATCCCTAAATTTTTCTTTAGCAATTTTGCTAAAAAAATCGAGAAAAATTTCGAAAACTTATCTTTTAGGATTTTTATAGGAATGTTTTGTTGGTTGTTAATTTCATCCTAAAATAATTTTTTTCAGTGTGGAGCCATTTAATAAAAAAATTGATCTGTTACCGCCTCACAACTTTATCGTGGATTTTTTCAACTTTATTTCGTTCTTCCAACTGTGTTGGAGTCTCAGTCTGTTCTATACGAGCAACCTTAAATCCACGACTAATCAACTGATCAGCGAAACGACCATAGCCAATTTCTGGAAATCCACAGTGAGCGATTTTACCCTGGAAAACTGCAAAATGATTTTGGCACTAATTTTTAAATTATTCTATTTTAAAGAAATCAAAAACAAAATTAAACTGAGAAACAAGTATTTATTTTTAAAGTGCTTTGAATTTCCAAATCTCAAATATTTAAATAAGGACAAAACTGTAACAGCTAAATTAGCATTCCTTGCATATATCAGTATCAATAAAATTTCCTAAACAATAAGAACCAGCGAAAAAAAACTAAAAAAGCCAGTGAAAATACGTAATAACCTTGCATAAATAAATCTTTAAATATCTTTAAAAAACTAATTTTAAACATCCTTAAAAATTTCGTAAATTTCAGAAATTTTTAAAAAACTTACTCTCATATAAGTAAGATTAAGATTTTCCACCCCAATCACCGCGTCCATATGATACATTTCATAAAATTTTCCAACTTTAAAAAATAGAATAGTGTCGAAATATTTTGATTTTATCATCCACCACTGTCGATGACCTAAAAAGAGAATAACCAACCATAAGAAGTACCATTTAAAAAAACGTAACGAAATTGCAAACCAGGAGTTTGTTCCTTAAGGAATGAGTCCGGAACGTATAATGTCCGTGGACAATATTCAGGATCATTAGCCAAACGACCATTTGCATCACGAATTTTATCAGGTTGAAGAAAATCGAAATCCAAATGAGGAAAACGTCCAGAAGCACATTCATCAATTAACACAGTTGCGGAATTCAATTTCTCCTTTGGTGAACAATCTTCCAAATCAACTTTATAAATAGTGCGATCAAGTGTTACTAATGAAGCATCCTAAAATTATTTTTATTTTAATATGCTTATTAATTAATTAATGATTTTTAATTAATTAATTAATTTTTACTTTTTTCATTCTTTTCCGATATCGAAATATGCGGCAAAAACTTACAAGGTCATCATCGACTCTGAAAGATGCAATGAACGAATGTACTATATCGCTGACAGATTTTCGAGATGACTTTGACGTTTTTAATATAGAAGTTTCCCATTTCGGTGTACAGTGATCCATATAAAATTATTCAGAATAGCAAAAAATAATCAAGAAATAGTTAAATGCCGGAATTTTAAAAAAAATCACTGCATAGAAAAGTAAATCACATTAAACAACCAACATCTCTATTAGTTGATAAATTTTCCACAAAAGTATTTATTTCTTTTTCAGGAAAGATATCTGTTTCTATTTCAGTTTTTTCAATATCTGATTCAGAATCAGAAGATAAAATAGCACGAGCTCTCTTAGATTTTCTTTTTATCTTCGAAAAGTTGCTATCTTCAATTATATGACGCTTTTTCGTTCGGAAATTGTCATCTAAAAATAAAATCTATATTTTGATTGGAAATAAAAATTCATCACTGATAAAAAAATTTAAACCTTAATTTAGATAATTATAATGAATTGAATAAATAGATTTAAACTTCAGCACAAAAAAAAAAAAAAAAAATTAAAAAATTAGTTTGGTAAACCTGGACACTCTGCTTCTTGTTGATCATCATTTGGCAATTTTTTATTTGAAGAATTTACAAAAATATTATTCTTACACTGCAAGTATATTGATGGAATTTCAAAAATTTTTGGAAAACTTATTCAGAAAAGATGAAGATATAAATGATTTTCTGAAATTTCTCATAAAGAAATTTTCATCTTTTCTAATTTCTTTCGTAAAAAAAATGATTAAAAAATCCTTCGGAGGGTCAAAATAAACAAAAAGCTGAAATGTGGAAATAATGGCTAAATTATCTTGAAAAAACTTTCCGAAGGTTTTCTCTCTAATTCGAAAATGAGATCCTCAGAAAATGAATTCCATATTCTTCACAAGAATCTCGACAATTTATCTGATCCTACAACAAGTTAGAAGTGACACCAAGCCAAATGATTGCGCGTCCTTTCTTTTTTTTTCCTCTTTTTTTCCCTTTACTCAGTTCATCCAATTTACCATCCTTTATCCATTGACAATTTATACTTTTTAATTCCATAATCTTATAGCCACTCCCCATCTGATCTTTTGAAACAGCCTCACTATTCTTAAATACATAAGTATTGTGAGAATTAGATAATACAGACTTAAAAATACCTCTGAAGTAGTTATAGCTGAATTTTCGGACGCTTGTTTTTGCACTTTAGGAGTCTTTGAAAAAAACGTAAATAGTGATGCTTGCTTTTTGTTCGACATTTAAAAAACCTAAAAAACTAAAATATTACTGATATTAATGATATTAATACCATATTACCATTACCATTATTATTACTATAATTATTTTAATTGCTACTCAAACAAAAAAATTAAATTAAAAGAATATTAAATGTTGCTTAAAATAGACTATTAAACAAAAAATAAAATAAAAATAAAAAATAAAATAAAAACAAAACCACTAGATAAATGCGAAAAAATAAATGAAAAATTCTACGCTTTTCTATTTAAAAAAGCCACATAAGATAAAAAAAAACGAAGAATTCCGCAAGAATTTTTTCACCTCTTAATTGTTCGTATTACCGCAATCTTTTTATCTGAAATTCGGCCTCCCTTCGAGCTACTTGTAATCATAAATTTATCATTTGGTGGTGATAATGAATGAATGACCGATAAAAATAATGTGGATGCAAGTTTTTCCTTTTGATTATTTCTTTTTTCCCCTTTCATTTATACTCTCTGCCATTGTTATAATGCTGCTTCCTCATCATACATTAAAAAATTCTTCATTACATTAAATAACGAGAACTATTTGAATGGTGGTGGAGATTTAGATGATGCCCTATGTGATTCGAGTGATCCTTTGGCGAAACGGACTTGTCAAGATTAGAGTAGACGGCCAAAATAGAGATGATGACTCATTTTAACTAACAAACTAAAAGGTGAAAAAAACTTCATTAAAGATAAACAATCTGTATATTAATTTCTGGGAAAGAAAGGAGGGTCTGGAAAAGAGCCAAGAAAATCATGTTGGAACCCTCCGATATTCTTGCCATATTTGTAAAAACTTCGCTATTAAAACGCCTTCGCGGCATTTGCGGTATTTCTGATTCGCCTATCCTCCCATACATTGTATTCCCATAAAGTACATGCACCATTAAATCTCTACTCTCCTGTAGCTAAGAATAACAGAAATCAGTGAAGCCGGGAATACTGGAAGAGATTCTCCTATAATAAGATAATAATAATGTAGATAATAAAGATTATAATAATGTGGATTTGGCGAGTTCGGAAGTATTGTCACATTTCAGTGAATTCTCTTAAAATTTAAATGTTACGCTATCCGCCAAAGACATATTTTTTCATTTTTTTTCTTTGAATGCGGCAATTTAACGCAAATAAAGTGTCAGCAAGAATTGGACTCAGGGTCAATGTAAATAAAACGAAAGTCTTATAGACAACAAGCTGATAAGATGCCGCATTTCCTTTTATAAATTCATTGCCGATTGAGGACCCGACTTTAAATATGTCTTGGATCCACTCTAATCCCAAATGGCCAGGCAAAGGATGAAATTGTAACCAGGACAACGACAGTTAAAAATGTTTTCCGGTTGATGAAACGTTTGTGGAACCGTCGCAAAGTCACCACAAAGACGAAAATCTCCATCTATATAGCTGTGGGAAATATGGCCAATGAGAGTGGAAGAAATTAAGAAGTTATCAGCCTTTGACCACTCATATCCAAGATACATTTTACGGATCCGTCGAGCGGATAAAATCGCATATGATTGTATCCATCTTCACTCAAATACCACCTGCATTAATAATCACAGATACGTTTTATAAGACACCACTCTAAGATACACTTTGCGATCCATCTTCGCTCAAGTACCGCACAGAGTGCGTACCGCCTTCGCTTGTTAGGGCACATTCTCCGCCGTCCACAGCAAGAGTGAGGAAGGCCAGTGAAGACCTGGACTGATACAGTCAGGAAAGACTTCGGACGTAGGGGGATATATGGACTTAGACGATGGAAAAAGGAATGGCTTCTATAACTGCGCCTTAGACGATGCACCAGAGAGCGCCGCTTGGAAACGCCTTCCCTCGTGGCGAGCGCAGCCGGTCTAACCAGTAACGGATAGAGCTGTTAGAAGACAGAAAGAAGAAGCAAATGATAACGGAAGTAATAATTCAACGATGAAATTACAATATAAATATGCGCAAAGAGTAATAAATAACGCCTAAATCGACCGTAAAAATAATTCAAATTTGACGTTTAACGAAAAAAAAGGAAAATTCGAATTCTTCAAATGGGAAATGGGACGAATAAATAAATAAATATCCAATAGGAAAGCAACGAATAAACACGGAAACCCCTCACTTATGAAAATTTTAAATTCGAAATTAGAAGTTTTGGAATTTAGAACGAAAATTTGAGGTGGCAATAAGCCGAGTCCTCTTTGCGGGGAACGATTTGGGCGCATCACAACCGTCCACTCAAACCCACCAGGCACCACGTCCCATCCTCTTTTCTGACGTATCAGTTTCCGCTTCATATACACACAGCTTCGCAAAATTCGCTAATTTACGATCTATAAAAATTTAAACTAAAACGTAAACTTGGCCTGGCAATCAGCCAAACTTTTTTCTAGATCTGCTGCTGAACTGGTTTCGTTCGTGTAGGTTTCTAGGATAAGGGGTTTATTATTGCGTTTTCTCATTGCTCCTTCGACTGCACTGCTTTCGTTTCGATAAATCGATAAATTCGCCGATATGACCCGTAAGTTTGTTTGTTTTCGGAACCTTTTTTGGTCGGATTTTCACTCAAAATTGTAATAAGTGAAATTTTTTATTAAAACTCACGTTTATCAGTTGATAGGATATTCCAATAACGTGTAATGATAGCTAGTGATTGATAACGTGAAAGCATTGTTTACTGCATAATTTTGCGGTTTTTTGTAAAATTTCCCTAAGTTATATTTATGTTTCGTAAATACGCTGAACGTCCGCATCTGAGAGAGAGAGTAAACGTGTCATTAAAAAGTCCGCATGAAAACAAATAAGAGGGGACTGAAAAACGGCTAATTTAAAGTGGTATATTCAAAATTTCAAATTTACTTTAGTTAAACACAATATATTATTAGAATTAACCATTTCTCATTAAGCTCGCTCCATTGGCTCCTAGTAAACGAGAAATTTTTAACTAGAGTGCCAGCCTAGCGAAAGAAGTGCAAGTGATTCTCCAGTACATGCGGGAAGGACGAGACGTTTCGATGATCTTCTTCTAGTCATAAAATCACTTGAGGATGAAGGTGCCTTCCTGGTTGCCGGATTTTTAATGACATATTTACTCCTGCAAAGAGAATATGCTTGAAACCATTCCTTCAGTTGAGATATGCCTCTCCGTCACCGATGCTGATTTAAATAAATTTATTTGTATTGGTAAGTAAAACAAGTAATTCTAGTCGATTTTCTGTAGTAGTAATCACTGCACAAAATTTCTGAAATTTTACCAACAATTTTCTTTAGTTGTTTCAGTTTTAAAAGGAATTGCAGGCGGTAATCAACGTGAATTGGCACGCGAAAGAAATCTAAAAAAACAGCAGAAGGCCAATAAAGGCAATCAAGATGTTCGCTATTTCTTTATTCATCGTTTGTTTAATTTTTTAGATTTTTATAAATGAATTTTTTAAAAAATTGATCGCTTATGCTTAAACAGCTGCAAAATTACATACAATAATAAGATTATTCTATGTATGTATTTTAAAAAATCTGCTAAATTTAAAGGATGAGGTAAACGCGCATCAAACATTGAATAAACTATGTATACATTCCATATTTACCGCTTCCATTATCCGATAATTCGCCGCCTGAGTCACTTATTGGTGATTGGTTATGTGCTACGGAAGAAAAAATAGAGACAGCGATATTCCTTAATATTTCCCACTGTAGAATCCTCTGCACTATGGAGAAATAGAAGAAAAAGGGAGATAGGTGGATAAGGTTCATCATGATATAAAAGGTTACGCTGAAAAAATACTCCGGGACTAAAATTATGAATAGTGCGACGATGGAAGAGAATATGGAATTGAAGAATTAGATGAAAAGGAGAGGGTGTCCGCCGTGCTGGTTTAGAAGGTATGGACACTTTTTAGTCTTTTTTTCGTTTTCCTTGATGTTTTCAATTCCATTAATTAATTGTTATAGACTACGAAGTTAGATAGTCGAATGGAAAGAGATGCGGATATAATGCGAAAGAAACAAGAAGCAGCAGCAGCAAAGAAAGCAGCTGAAGAAGCAGCTAAAGTTGAATCTAGCAAGAAATTACAAAGTTATGACCCTCTGAAATAAATTTCATAACACTGAAGTCATAGTCATATTCTACTCATTGATTCATAAAAGCAAATTTTGCACGTATTTTGAAATGTGATAATCAATATTTATTCAGTCTTTGACTTAAAGTTTCAATGTATTTACGTGCTTTTTTTGTGTATATTTATGAATTCTCTTTGCCATTTATATTTGAGGCTTAAGCAAACACCATAGTGCGGTTTCTACTCATGTGTACTTCGACGAAAGCAAGATTCAATGTCAGTGTCATTAAAATTCAAATTAGGGTTATGCTGAAAAACAACCATCAGTTTTTCTCTCTAGACATTAAGTCTAATAGGTTTTGAATTTAGTGCGATGCAATTTTCAGATGAAATGGAATCAACTGATAAAATTTTTCAGTTTAAATTGATCGTTGAGTGGTCTGTACATTATGAAAAATTGTGGTATTACGTTTGAAGTTGTCAGTAATTTTATCTTACTTCAAAAAAAAGTATTAATACAAGCACAGTGCTATCATTATAGAACTGTGAAATCTGATATGGACATAATATTTTTCTTTTCACGACCAATTCTTTTTACAATTGCAAAATGGAGTTTGTTTTCTCTAAAATTACAGTTCTTTTTATACATGGAAAAGAGAAAATTTCAACAGAGTCAAAATTTTATTTATTCTTTTAGGCATTTATTGACTTTGAGTGTTACGAATGGTTTTGATTTATGGGATTATCTAATAATACTTGTATTAAGAGGTCCTTATAAATATGAATAAAACCTTTCATATTTAAATATTTAATTATGGTGCAAAAAAAACGAAATATTCCTTTTGCATATGAGATGTATCTTTCATTAGTGAATAAAAAATTTACAAATACCTATTGAAATTTAGTACTTAAAAATCTCTAATTTTCTATTTTCCCCGAAAGATATATTTAAGGGAAGAAATTACGGAAATAAATTTTTTAAAGGAATGAAATTAAGAAAAAAATCGAAAAAATTTCAATATTTTTTGTTTGAAGAAGACTCGCAAGATTCTGCATTCTTCTGATCCCGAATGGCCTAAAAAAACAATTATGAAAAAAAGAAAACATCCCTAAAATTTGATTAATTTGGACTATTAAATCGTTTAATTTAAATTGTCAAAAGAGCAAACCGCATAATATCCTGAGTGATAGCCACTCATATACCATGACATCAACATGCTGCCCAGTGCTTCATCTTCATTATTCACTTTTAAACCGTTAAATACAGGCAAGGGAGGAGGAATAAATGAAGGCATAAAATGTACCTGAAAACAAACTTTGAAAAGAAAAACTGGAAAAATGGAAATTCAAAGCAGCTAAACAATCTCAAGAAAAAAATACCATGACATGAAATGAAAAGAAGTAACTAACTGATTCTTCAAATAGTTGACTACCGCTTTGGTGATAATTTTTAAGTCTCAGATTTTTACTTTTTGATTCATGGCGTATTTCCTTCTGTTTTTTAACATCGGACCTTCCATCAGATTTACAATCACTTAAAGTTCTTATTAAAAAACAAAATTAAAATAAAAAACATTCAACAAAAAATATGCAAATATTGAAATTTAAACGAAATATCACTTTTTTTCATCCTCACAAGAAAGCTTTTTAAGTTCACAAACATCAACCCAATATTCGCCATCATAACCGTCATATTCAACTTGACATTCTAAACCACTTGAAATTATATGCGAAATTGTTGCTTCGTAATATAAGGAATCTTCATATGGTGCTAAACAACGATCACCCACTTTCCACTGAAAATTGAAAATTGTTTAAAACTGGCAAATGCAAGATAAGCTTTTGAACCAAAGTAAGCTCGTCTCAACAGAAAATAAGAAAATCAGATAGGTCCAACCTTGATTTTTTTATTAGATTTTTTACCATTTTGGCTTTGTATTGACTCACCATCTGATTTTCCCTAAAAAAAAGAAACTTTTTGATTAGAGCAAATAAATAATCACACGAAAAAAATAAAAAAGAAATGAATTATACAATGATGAGCCATTTTTTGGTGAATTACTATGAAATATTTAAATATTTTAATTATTTTAATTGAATCAAGAATGTTAGAGAATTTCCTCAGTCAATCATCATCTCAAGTTTGGATGCCTACCAAATACCCTCTTCCATCAGAAAATTATTTGAAAAAAGATACAGAAAAAGATGCCCAGCATGAAATCTTCTTCAAAGAAGAACGTTGCCAAAAAAAGTATAACTTCGCTAGGAAGAAAAGAAAAATTACCTGCTTCTCATGGTTGTTTTGCGAGCATCCTTTAACACCCAACGATGAATTTTTTAGTTTTCTCTACAGTATAAATAGTATGCAAAAAAATATCAATTATCAAAAAAAGTTTTCTAGGTTTTCTTGAAAGAATTCTCGCAATAAAAATGAAAATAACTTTAAATGATAGAAATTTAATAAAAACATAATGTTTCAAAAATTTAAAAACCAATTTACCAATGGCGGTGTTTGTTATGTCACAGGAATTATCATTTCATAGATCATCACCATGGTTTTTTTTTCATTAGAAAAATTGAAAATAACGCTACTGGGTACCAAACTGACCTATACTTCTATTTTCAAGTAATTATACCCTCAAAATTTCGATTTTTGCTTCTTGAAACTGTTGCTAAAAGTGAAAACGAATGTTGATAATCCCGCGCTTATATCCTACTAACTCTGGAGAAGATTCATCTTAATAGCCAAAACGAGCGAACCTAAACGATGAATGCCAACCACACAAGTTATACAATAATGCAAAATGCAAAACTTACATAAGTAGTTTCTCTAGCTTCATCATACATTTTAATAAGGAGCGAATCATCCCAAAAATCTTGATCGACATTTCTCATATTATTCTAAAAAATCTGATAAAAAATATTTCACATCTGCCTTATGGTGGTAAAATAGTATGATGGTATAAAATGGCATAAATGGTAATGGCAATGGCAAAATATAATGGCATATAATGGCATATACTTATAATTTAGTATATACAGAAAATCAAACAAATTTAAATTCAGAATGATCGGACATCACCCTCTCGATTAACATTCAACCATCATACAAATTGCCAAAACCCGAGAACGCCGAATTCCATATTATAATTCTGTACTCAAGTGACTCTCTAGCAAAAAGACCTCATCATAGTAGTCACTACGCTTAAAAGAACAATATAAACAAAAACGAAAGAGCAAATTTTGACTGCCTAAACAAAATATAAGAATATCAACAAATTTACTCTGGAATAGAGCATGGATCCATCCTCGGTTGTCATGAAAATCTTGAAACACCCTAAAATTAAAAAAAAATTTAGAAAACGCTTCTAAAATACAAATGAAACTTTTCTACACTCTAATTTATGCGCATGAAAAACTATAAAATAACCTGAAGAAACATTTATCAATCAATTTTTTAGCACTCTTTATTATAAAAATGTGATTACAGCAAAAAATATATAATAGTTGTAAACAAAGATCTATAACACCACACAATTTAACGAAAATTTTTATTGATAGAAATATATTAACAATAAATATATTAACTGACAAAAATAATAAAAATTATTCTTTTATTCTTCTTTTTTTGATTATTTTTTATAAATATAAATTACTGGCGAATTTCATTTGCTGCGTTCAGTAAAAATATGACAGAAAAATAAAAGAAATAATGGTGAACAAAAATTAAACAAATGAAAATCAACGTATTCATAAAAACTATTCATATCAACATATTCATAAAACTATTATTAAACAAAAACATTAAATCACACCTGTCCACATCATGGTGAAAATTCATCTTTTCTCCTTTATTCCTAATTTGATTGAGATTATTTCATTAGAGAGTAAGATAGAAGTAGAGGCCTCCAACACGATTTATTCCTACTAGGAAACAAGAGGCAACATGCCACTCGAGCATTTTGTTCCTGTTACTAAATTCATTAATGAAATCATTTCCATAAAATTTTTTTATATACTTTTTATATATTTTAGCAATAATGCAAGTTAAGCTATATTTATACATAATTCCACAAAATAGATTGGTGCATAATAAAATTTCTTCCCAATCACTGTTAAACAAAGCCGTCTATCTCTAAATTAGATTATATTTCTCCATAAACCCATTAACCCATAAAATGCCACTTCATTCCAACCTGCTAGTACCTCTTTCCTGCCTTAATTTTTTAAAAGAGAACTTAAAAACTTGATAAACTTACTTGCTTGAGACCTATCCTTTGAGACCTTGCATCAAATTCTTTTAAAAATCCGGAACATAAATTTTCTTCCACTGTGTTGATTCTGTTCACCAGAATTCACCAAAATGTTCTTTTTGGGCCTTTTCGTTGCAATCTATTAATAAAACTTTCTAAAAACCTATAAAATTGCATAAAAAGTCTCAGCCTACAGCATTCAAATCTCTTGACATTTTCTATACACGTTTATCTTATAGTATTTTATAAAATGCTTTTATAGAATATATCCTAAAAAATATTTAGATAAAAAAACCCTTGTTATAATTCATTAGCGATAAAAGTTGAAACGTCTTCCTATTGCCTCAACGGTAAAAAATCCAGCTTAATATCACCTTTCACATGGCCTTAATACTCGTTCAAATTCATATTGGACCTTTGTCACAGTAGCTACAGTTTAAAAATTTCGAGAAGCAGAGATTGAGCAGAAATTACAGAGATTGAGCCATACTATCGCGGGAATCTGAAGATATTAGAAAAGAATTAGAAGGATTCTGCAGGTACTTAAACAATGTATTTTGAAGAGATGTTGAGTTAAGCATATATTGAGGAAATAGATAGATCAAGACTATTTTGTTTCTTCGCAAAGCGGACCTTCTTACTAGTCATTCTCTTTTTAAACCGAAACCAACATCAAGCAGAAACATCAAGCAGAAATTAATAAATTACCAATGTATTTCCAAAAAAACTTTAGATTATTAATTTTAGAGAAAATATAAAAAGAAAGCAATGATTTTAATGGTGTTTAACGGTTAGAAGGACGAATTAAATGATCTTTTATGAGCTAGATAGCTCGTTTAAACCATTTTCTGGAAAAATGTAGAGATTCAGAAGAAAATCAAGAAATCCAAGAACCATAAGCGAAGGATGAGAAATTCAGATGCTTACTTATGGTTTGATCGGTTGCGCTTCATATTTTTCGCCAAAAAATCTGCCTCATAAATATAAGAAATGCCCAGAAATTTTAGAAATAGAATTTATTCGATTCCTTTCTCGAGTATAAATTTTAATAAAATTATACTATATATATACACTATAGTACAGTATGGTACTTGTTGGAAACTTCCTTCCTCCAATTTTTTATTGCTATATCCCCTTATGGTCTTATAATTTCCTTCTAAATATGTTCTTCAAATCAATGGTCGTTAAACTGGCTTCTATAGACTTTAAAGCCCACAGCAACATACAATAACAGTACATAAGCCTAATGTTCGAATTATCTGTTCTTATTTTAATTAAACCGGGGCAAATTAGTTTTACTTTATGCAATTTATTAAATTTATTGAAAATTCTTAGGTGGAAAAAACAAATCTTAGAACTTCCGGATTTTTTGATATCATCTAGGGAAATTTGACGACCACTGCTTTAACCAATCCCCCATAACTTACTGTCTTTTTCTTCTTCTTCTAACAGCTCTCACCATTACTGGTTAGGCTGGCTCCAACAGCTACAAGGGTAAGACGCTTCCAAGCGGCGCGGTCTGATGCCATCGTCGACAACAATGGAAGCCATTCATTTTTCCATCGTCTAAGTCCATATATTGCTGGTCCACCTATATGTTCAAAATCTTATGAGGCGATCCTTAATACTTAATTATTACGCCATTGCTGTCTCTTACCAGTTCACTGATCGTTCCTCCAGTCATAGTTGAAGAAGGTAGAATAGTTTCCTATTGTCGCCTAATCGAGCCGCCACCTCCATTCTTGAGGCCATGTCACTCCACTAGAGATTTCTGTCCCGCCTTGCTGCTTTTGTTGCAAATCTTCGAAGCACCCGGTAGTCAGGATTACCTGACATTCGTGCTTTGGCAGCTTTTTCAGACAATTGCTTCCGATACCCAACTAGCGCACTTCCTACTAATATGCCCTAGCGTGGAAGTGGCTAACTTATTGTCATCAAATTATGAAAAAAATGTTTAAATTTAAATTTAGACTAAGCCTTTTCATAACTCAAAAATAAAGCTGAGGAAAAATGAATGCTAATTATTAATTAATTAATTAATCAATGTTAATTACGAAAATGAAAAAATTATTTTTGAATTTTGAATTAAAGAATGAGATTTTTTTTTTTAAGAGTCCTTACCATTATTGTTAAACTCGCTCCATTTGGTTTGTTGCATTGAGCAATATGCCAGAATCCCTTGGCGATAGAAATACAGGTGAGTCGCTAGCATCACCAGGATTTTTGTACAGGTTTACTCCTGCGGAGAATCGAACCTCAGCATCGGCATTCTCAAATGAACACCAGCCCACTGAGCTATTCTATCCCCAAAGAATGAGATTATGCCATTTTAATGTGCTTCTTCATGTGTTTTAATGTGCTGAAAATATACCATATCTAGTTGGCTCCATTGAGTACTAAGGCAATTACTTCGTCGAATTTGGGAACAGCACTGGGTCGCCAAGGCTATTTTATTTCTCAATCCTGGTGAGAGCCTTGTTGCTTTCAACATCTTAGATTCCTTTAGCTGAAGAAATAAATCTTTAAACCATGATGAATCTACAAAACAGAAATAAAGAAATAAATATTTATTTACCTATATTTGACAACAGCAAAGGAAATGGAGCCATGCGGTATAATAGAAATAACAGATAACCACAATAGCTGGTAAATTCAAAAGAAATAGGAGGCTCATTAAGAACGAATGGAATTGAGTAATTTCATGGATAATTTTATTTACAAAATAAATAAGGAAAATAAAGTGGTTGGTGTTCATTTGGTGAGGCTCGTTAGCCAGCATAATTAGAAAATTTTGTTAGAAAACCATCGGGAGATGGATGAATAGGTAAGAGACCCGCATCACCACCATCACGGATTTTTAATGAAGATTGTCGTCTGCCATAGTTAAAAACGGAATTCGTACCTCATAGCACGACAGAATGAACTATCTACTCCGTTACCTTGAATGGTTCAGTGGATTGTTACTCAATTCAGAGCATTGGTACTGAGGTTTACTCCCTGAACAGCAAACGTATCTGAAAATCCGCATGCTACTGGCGACTTAGCCTTAATCGCCAACGGACTCTCTGGCATACCTGTCTAATACGATAAGCCAGCGCAGCGAGTCTAAAGAGTAATGGTGAGCGCTTTTAAAAAAAGTCTCATCTTCTTCCCATCTTTAATAACTTATCTCAGGGCCTAAAGTTACTGGGCCTAGAAAACTATCAGCTAACAACACTGTAAACACAAAGAAAATGAAAATAAATAAATGAAAACCGAACGAACTCGATTGCGAACTGCGACGACAGAGATAATCGAAACTGCTTAATTTCATATTATTATATGGTTTAAATTTATGGTAAGCAAAAGAAAGCTACCATTTAAAACAATGAAGATAGCGTCAAACCATAAACTGCTCTCTGTTATTTTCAGTTATGGCGTCAATAAGCCTTATTCTTGCAGCCAGTGAAAATCGCCTAAATGAGCAAAAAAATCCTCTTTCATTTTATTTTTTCATTTTATCAAATCAAATTTAATTGTAAGCTATTTTAATGCTTAATGCTTAATAAATATTAAATGAACATTTGAAAAGTCTGGACTTATTATAATTATCAAAAATTTGAATTATACTTTATTTTATCTCAACGATCCTTGAAATATAGT